CTGTTTCCTATAGTGAATTCGGCCAGGCCTTATAACAGAGGCTAGGCTGAACCCATGTGGTTGATGTGTAGATCAATATTTGGGTCCCACGCCATACAAGGATACCCAACTGGGTAGCAATTTGGAGGAAATGTAAGCACATGGACTTAATGGTCCTAAAGCCCAATTCGAACTGGTATAATATGATTATTTAAAGAGGGGCGGTTCTGGGATTTAGATCAGCAGATAGGATAGAGAGTTATCCTTATCCACTCAGAGAGTCCAAATCCAAATAAAAATTTGGATTAGGAAACTCCTAATAAGATTAGGAGGGTTGATCTTTATGTACAAATAAGATAAGGATTTATCCTTATCTCTTAAAGAGAGTCTAGATCCGAATGAGATTTGGATTAGGAAACTCCTGATGGGATTAAGGCTATAAATAGAGGAGGAGGGCGAACCCTAGATCATCCTTCAAGATTACAGATTCAAGAGAGAAGACAGCTCTAGTAAGACTGGCGCCATCTTTTGCTCTTGCCTCCTTCTATTGTTGCCGCCATAGCCAGTTCGATCTCCTCCTGTAGGAGTTGATGCCGCGCAATTCGGGCACTCCTAGCTGGTTGCTGACTGGCTCCTACCTGGCAACGGGCGACACCTGAGAAGAAGACGGTGAAGAATTCCCAGGGGACTTACCTGGTGGGAATACTCCGATGCTTAAGTTAGAACGCTGGGGAAAATAGTAAAGAGTGTAAAGAGGCTAAAAGTGTAGGTCGCGCTAGATCACTAAGTGCTCCAGATCAGCTCAAGAGCAAGCTTGAGTAAGGTAAGATGATTCAAGATCCAAACTCAGATCAGATGATTCAAGATCCAAACTCAGATCAGATCCCCCCCCTTCGACTAAGGGGCTCTTATATAGGCATCCTTGTCAAATCGGGCATAATCGCCACTGGGCTTCTGTCGCAACCGTTATCTGCCAGGGCTGCGCAGGTAACCGTTGCAAGGTACTAACCAATCGGATGAGTGACACATCCTGGGAGGACAGGCATGCCACCATCTATCGAGAGACGTGGGTGCAGTCTGTGGAATTGGTAGGGACTGCGGCGTCATTTAGAAGACGTGGCACAGTCTAACGGGTACAGTCTTGTTAGATAGAAGCTTCCTGAAAGCATCGCATCGCTTAGTCGCAAGCTACCTTGTAGCGAGCTATCCAGTCGTATAGTGAGCTACCCTGTCGTGAGCTACTTTATAGCGAGCCTCTATGGGTACTTCGAGGTGACCCCTCTCAAGGTTGCCTTTGGGGCAATTTTTCTGCCTAAGTGTTGGAGCGAGCTGGTTACCTTAGCTCACGAGCTGGGATAGACTTGGAGTATTCCCTTTCAGTAGATCAGAGGTCCTCGAGCTCGCGTTGTAGCGAGCTCCCCCTATAGCGAGCTATGACGTAGCGAGCTATCTTGTGGGCTCGTTACTTAGCCGTGGTTAGACTGTGGTGCTAAGCTGTTATTCGTGCTGTGTCATGTCCACGTGTCATCGTCTCAAGGGGTCGGGTCAAATCACCCTCCATCAAGAGCGATCAAGAAGCGTTGGATATCAGTTTTTGGTGAAAAACTGATCTGAAGTCGTGCTCACTCACCCTCCATCGAATTCTTGCTGAAGAGTTCGGTTCTTGCTGAACAACCACCTGCTATTTCTGCTCCACCCTACGCTATGTCATATTCAGTGGGAGCAGTCTTTGGCGTTTTCCTTGGGCGTAAACACCTTCATTGGGAGTTACTGTTATTCTATATCAGGTACATCTTTCTCATACCTTTTGGTTTCAGATCTGGTCTGGTTTAGGGTTCAAGATTGATYCTTGAAAATRTAGTTTTCYAAAATAGGGAATGTGATTYCCACATGGGAGAGAGAGAAATTTTTGAAATTTCGCACAACCTACCTGCAGGGTTCGGCTATCCATATGATGGATCTCTCATCCCTTCAAAATCCACCTGCAAAGAAGCTGGTTCTATGTCAAGAGGATTAGGAGAAACAAATTAGGTTCTTAGTAAGATTTGGGGGTTTCATCTACCCCCAAGATTGACAACATTCCTATTTTTATTGTTAAATAATCATCTCCACACAAAGGCCATGCTCATATCTAAGGGACTTCCAATTGATGTCTAATGTTGTTTCAGTGGTGAGGAAGAGGATAGTGAAGATATTTTCCTTAAGTGCACTAATGCTAAACTAGCTTGACAAATATTTAATCCTCTTATCGTGGGTTTAGGATTTAGTGGCTCTTCAATCAAGATTGGTAGTAAAACTTGGACAATTGTGCAATGTTGGGGGAATAAGTGCCTTATGAGAAATATAGTTTTATTCTTTGGTATTTGTGAAAAATAGAAATGAGAAAGTTTTTAACAATAGATCCTTTTCCCCTTCGGATATTATAGAAAAATCCCTAACTTCATATAGGGAATCAAGCTTAAGCTTGACTACGGTTAAAACCTCAAATAGATCAATATCTTGGAAAGCCATAATTTGGAAAATGTCAAAAGAAGGAACGATTAAAATAAACTTTGACACCTCGAGAAGAAATGATGGGGTTTGTTTGATTTCTTACATTACTAGAAAGCCCAATATGGCTCAAAACATCAAGATCTCTCCAATCTGTTTTGAAGGAGATTCTCCTTTAGTGATTTCGTGCGTGAAGAAGCGGGTTAATGTTCCTTAGAGACTGAAAATCATCATTAAAGACTGCTTGAGGTTGGCCCATAACTTGGATTGTGGGGTTTCATACGTCCATTTCTTCAGAGAAGCAAATCAGGCGGTTGACTGATTGGTGCATTAAACTCTTTCCCCAATGGTAAATTAATAAAATATCTCGATATTTAACATTGATTTTTAAAATATCTCTAAATTTTTTTTGAATTATCATAATTTAATTCCAAATTATCATAATTTAATTCTAAAATAACCCCCAAATTTCCATAATATTATTTGTAAAATATCCAAAAATTAGATTATTAAATAATTTTTAGGTGATTATCACGGGGCAAGGAAAATTTGGGAATTCCCCGTTCCTAACGGGGAGTTGGTGTCCCGCCCCCCACCAGGGATGGATAGGGGTCCCCCCAACCCGCCCTATTGCCTGTCATTCCTACCTACCCAACCCTTGTTTGGGTCCAATAGGTTTAGGGTACTGATGTGAATTAGGTTTGGAGAAACTTTTCAATGCTTTTGGCCCAATAGGCGCCCTTGAGCATGATTGTCCCCACTCAAGCCAACCTAGGGCCGACCCAGCACATGAGTATGTCAAATTTTAGTTCAGGTTGGGATTAGGTTTGGCATATCGATCAGGTCTAGGCTAGGGATTAGGCCCTAAGTTGCAACCCCCCCCCCCCCACACCCCCAAATCCCAAAGTTCTTTTCAATAGGATTTGTGATCAGTTACTTGTTAATCTGTAATAGGATTTGTGATCAGTGAGAAGGAACAGAAACTCAGAGAGTAAAAGCTTGTTAATCTGTAATAGGATTGTGATCAGTGAGAAGGAACAGAAACTCAGAGAGTAAAAGGATTCATAAGATCCGTTCCGCCATTCAAATATAAAATAAATAAATAATCAAGTGAAACACGTAGAATGCAACAGGATCAACAAAAAAAAAAAATCTTTGTTACTTTCAGAGAGCTCCGAAACTATTTCTTTCCATTATCAGATAAAATTTGAAAAGTATGAATTAGTATAATTTTCTCAATGCCATATCAAAATACAAGTAGCTGACATTTTCAATTATTCTGTAGCCTCTTTAAAGAAAAATAGTTGAATTGTCATTGAACATGATAAACATAAAATAAGTCATTAGTAGTCATCATCTTCATCCCTTTGTCCAGTGAATCTCCTGATTACAGCAGCAACAGCACCAAGGACTAAAAACAATACGAAAACCTCGAACCCTCCTCCAACACCAACGGCAACACTGGGTCCGGCGAAGAATGAAAATGGCGACCAGCCCCATCCACCATAAAATGGGACACCATATCCATAGCCACCAATCAGAGGTGGTGCCACTGGTGGATTGATGTAGATGTTGGTCCTGTCCAATTAACATCATTTAGTTAATCAGAATCATAGTATCTTTTCCAGTCTCTCTTGAAGTTGCTTTATCTGTAGTTGAATTCAGTATGAAACAGTGGCAACATGGTATAACTAACTAGGAGTCCATTTGGTTTCCAGTCAGAATGGAAATCAAAATCTTTTAGAATCGGAATTGGAATAGTCCATTCTCACAGTCGGTTTGGTTCGGATAGGAATAAGAATGGAGATTGAAATCAATAAGAATGAGATTTCATTCTCAAGGGAGGGGCAAAAAATGGCCATTCCCTCAAATGGATTGGAATGGAAATGGGGTTCCGATTCTATCCAACCAAACAGTTGGAATTAGAATAACCCATTCCCATTCCGATTCCAGACCCCTATTCCCACGAACCAAACGGGGCCTAGGATTGGCAATGGACCAGTTGGGTCAGGTAGAATCCTAATTGGGTAGGGAAATGCCAATCTGAAATAATTGGATCCTGACTGAATTCAATCAATTCCAATAGGAAACACCCAACTGGTTGTACTGTCTTAACTCCTTTTCATTTAAAGGATAAAAGGGATGTGGCTTGGAACAGTTTCACTGTTAGGTTGGGAAACACCAAATAATCCACAACTGATTAGCTAAATTGAAACCTGGAAAAGGTCAGTTACTCATAGTTTTTGAATTGAAACCAAAATAATAAATATAAACAAGCAAAGAAACTATGAAGATGCTCAAATTATTCTTGTCTGACATGTATATGACACCCAAGAAACACAGTGATACCTAAAATTTTTGCAATATGAGCATAAATAGACAAATGACACATGTAATGTGGAGGAACAGGTTTCCTATAGACTCTCAGTAACAGAGCTCTCAAGTCAAAAACATTGTGGGAAGACCTAAACTATTTGGCTTATTTCATTCTTTGGGCTTGGGATGGTCAAGAAAAAATCAATTCTCAAGCAAGCTATTCTGATTGGCTAAAGCAAATAATTTTACAAATTTCTTTCAGTGATAATTAGTGATGAAAAAAATTTATTTATTCATAGAACCATCTTCGTCATCATCATCATCTTCATGGTCCCAACTATATGAACTCGGTTATATGAATGTTATTTCGCCATTCCATTCTGGTGAATGCTATATCCATCATTATTATATAAGCCTTGATTGTTAAATTATTTTAATTTATTAAAATCAAGTATTGATACTCTCGATACAGGATATATCATATATATCGTATATATTATATTTCTATCGATGAAAACGAATAGAGATATACCACAATTAGATACATATCCCACAAGTTGTGTAGTATACCTCATGTATTGGATCATATCACACCATGTCGGTGAGTACAGTCCAATATTCACATACAAAAAGCATAGGGCTGTTCATAAAAATTTTCAGACCAATTAAACCAACCAAAGCAACCAACTTGACCCGAAATAATTGGTTCTTAAAAGTGTCAGTCAGTTTCGGTTCAATAAACATTAAAACCAATGTTTTTAAAATTGGACTGGACCAAACGGTTGGATCAGAAAAATCGGGAAGCGGCACTTGATTGCTTTTGTTTAACCAAAAAAATTGATTTTTGACCAAAAACCGTTGATTTAGTCAGCGAACTGCTGACCCGAGCGGTCAACCGTTGAATCGTTCAACCTGGTAACGGTTTTTGCATGTTTTTTGGGTTTTTTATTTTTGTTATTTTTTTTGTCAGAAAGGGTTGTCTGTTTGGACCAAATGGTCAGATCGTTCGACCTAGGAACCAGACCTAGAATGGTTCCGTGTCTGGTCCGGTTTTAAAACCTTGATTAAAACCCAATGATTTGATTTTGTTGCAAGTTATGTGTATACATTAATGATAATTTGTATGACATACCTCTCTACTTATCCCAAAAACATGCTTTTGGTATCATATTAGCTTAGCCCCTACCTGCAGTTTGAGACTACACAGCTTGCCAGGTGCTAGTCTCATGTTTATGGTTTCTAACTAGGGGTGGATTCGAGCCGAACCGAGCCGAATAGTACGAGGCTCAAGCTCGGCTTGCCTAGGTAGCACAAGGCTCGAGCTCGGTTCGAGTTAGAACCTTGAGCTCGAGCTCATATCGAGTCAAAAACTCGTAAGCTCAAGCTCGATTTAAGAAAAAAATGTTTTATAAAAATAAAAAAATTATATATAAAAAAATATTTTTTTTTGATATTTAAAAAATTAAGAATTATAATAATTAGTTATTATTATATATAAAAATAAAAATATTATATATATATAATATTTTCTATATTTTTTTTTAAATTATTATTATTATTATATGTAGCTATTCGAGCTATACCAGGCTCGAGTTAGGCTCGAACCTTGGTTGAAGCCGAGCCGACCCAAGCTTTTCACGAGCTGAGCTCGAGTAGCTCTTGAAGAGCTTAGCTCGTGGCCACCCCTATTTCTAACCATTGGTCCCTTTCCCTCTTTTCAACCAAACCCTTATATCAATGGGATCCATACTAGTACTTTAAGACTGTTTGGTTCAAAGGAAAAGTAGGTCAAACAAAAAGTAGGAAAACAATACAAGGGAAAAGTATGGGTTTCCCAAGTTTTCAATTCTTTTCCCTTCCTTCAAACAAAACACAGCCTAATGGTTGTATAAGTAAACAAAAAAGAGTTATTATTATTATTATTATTTTGTTTTTGCTTCATGGGGCTACATAATGGGGTAGACCATCCCCCTCCCTTAACCCTCCAACCCTGCTTGCTAGCACGATTTGATCCTAAGTCTCTACTCCAACAAGTTAGAGATCCTATTAACTAAGACATCATCAGTTGGTTAAGTAAAAAAAAAAAAAAGTTAAACGTCCAAAGAATGTAAAGTTGTGAACATTGGAATTTGTGAAAATTTTAATGGTAAATCTCTTAAAGTACTCCTACTATTCAAGAAATCGACAAACTGTACCCTTACAATCTTAAAATACCCTTACTGTTTTTAAAAATTGACATCACTGTTAAATACTAAGAAAGAGATGTCGAAATTTCCCTCTACTATTTCTCAAACTCTTCCCCTCTTCGTTCTCCCTCTCTCTTATTGTCAGCTGCAAATTGACCATAAGAGTCCTTGTGCATGTGATTAAGCCCACGCTTCTAATTCAGTACCGACATCCGAAACAAACACCAACAACTCTGGTCAAGAATTATTGACTTCTCTGTGTCCTTACTCTCCAAGCACATCGATAGATACTCTATCCCATTGACCGAGCTTTGATAAACACTAATCCGAAGGTTACATTCACGGGCAGGAAAAACAGGGCTCATTATCTTCTAGGTACTTGATCATCTCGAGCAATCTGAAGTTATGCACCTCCCAAGTGAACTTTCCATTCAAAACATCTGAAATTGAAAAACATAATCGTTATTGAAGATTGTAACTCATTGTTATCATGAGAGAAGGAGATTGATTCATTCAAGACCAGAATATCTGTGGTGATGACAATAGAATCGTTATTAAAGAGGAACCTGGCCTTGGGATCCAAAATTGTGGGAGAAGGGATGAAGTCGCACTAACCGTGAGATTTCTTCTTGTTGGAGAAGCAGTGCCAAGAGTCTCTCTGAATGGAGTTGGACTCGTCGAGATGATTAACGATGGAGAGGAGGTATCTAGCGAAATAGTCCCATTTTGATGATGAAGAACCGTGAGGATCCATGATTTGGAGATAGAAAGAGAAATAACCGGGAAGGGCTTGGTAGTCACCTTTAGGGTAGACAAGGAGTCAACAATCGTAGCCGCCCGCTTTGAAGTATCGGCTCCATAGTGCCCTAACTTTCACCTTGGGGAAATTGACGATCGTCCACCGGTAGACAACTGAATGATCTCCCTATTTTCTGGGTGTCTAACATCGGAGGATAGCCAACGGTTGGGATCTGCAACTTCCAACCATTGCTTCCTTCGTTGACAAGACTTCTCCTCTCCTCCTCTCCTCCCACAGCGATCAGCGAGGAGAAGGAATAGCAGAGCCCATGGAGACATACAGGGGGTGCAACTCCTCAGCTATGTGGGCAAAGAAACAGACGTGCCTCGTGCATTTTGTCTCGTCCTTGCAGAGTCGAGTCTTGTACTGCGCCGGGTGAAGCCAGCACTCGAAGACTCCATGTGCATATTCACACATATTTCCGTGTCTATATGCCCCTTTTCTGAAATCAGGGCAAGGAACACATCTGATGGAGATGATGGATATTCATTGTCCGGTGATGATGACGATGGCAGCCACCTTTAACCATTAAGTTTGAAAAGGAAAGAGAAAGCGAAGGTGAAGAAGAAACCGTTTCGTACTCTGTTTCAAAGAGAAGAAAGAGATGAAAATGTGGATGATTTGGAGCCAGATCCGGATGAGAGGGCATCATCAGCAAAGAAGCAATGGGGATTTGATGGGTTTAAGAAGTGGAAGAGAAGTAATCCAGAAGATGAAACAACACACTATAATCTCAGCAAATACTCGAAGGCATCGAGGCTCTAGCTTACGGTCTTATGGATCGAGCCCTCGGTAACTCGAACACCGAACAGTGTGAATCCACCGATGGATTTAGAAGCGGCCACAACTTCGGAGCAGGTACAGGAGTTGTGCCCGTTGTTGCCGCACTGTGAGCCGCTGCGTGACTAGGGCAAAAGGGAGAGAGAGAACGAAGGAAAGGAGAGAGAGAGAGAGAACGAAGGGGACAAGGAGAGAGAGAGAGTCAGATCCCATCCCTTTGGGACCGAAGAAGGACTTGCTCCGGAGGAATTCGGGGAAGAAGGAAGAAGAGGCTTCTGATGGTGGTCTAATCGGAGTGGTGGAAGCTTCCGGTGGGGATGACATGAATTTGGCGGGGTGTAAACACAGTCAAAGTAGGGGCTGCCGGTCGAGAGGAAAGGGATGAGGGTGATATTGGGTTTTAAAAAATTTTAAACACCAATTTTAACAAAAATTAACGATGCTAACAGAAGGGGTAGAGCTACTCAACTGCCAGAAAACTTAAGGGTAGCTTAAGTTAAGACTATAAAGAATAAGGGTACAGTTTGTAAATTTTGTGAACACTAGGGATAATTTAAAAGATTTACCGAATTTTTAGACGTGTGCAATTTTTTTCAATTAGCTGATTAAATCAACTGAATTGTAAACAAAAATTTAAATCGATTTTATTTATTTCTGGATCAATTTCGGTTGGCCAGTGGTTAAACTTAGAGTGTCAGTTTGGTTGGTGGTAAAATAAGTGAAACTGAACTGAAATAAAGAAAATGAAAGCATATTTACTACTGAAATAGAATTATTACTATAAAAATAAAATAAATAATTTAATATTTAAAAGTGAAAACATATTTACTACTGAAAAAAGTAATGTTATTATTTATATAAAAATACTAAATAAAGAAAAATTCCCAAAAATTTAATAAAAAATGAAATAATGTTATAATTTTAAAAACAGAAATACATAATTAAATATTTAATTTCTCCAAAATCTTAATAAAAACTGAAAATTATAAAACTAATTTATTTTATCTACCTTAAATTATTTATATGTTTTATTTTACAATTATATATTAAAATGAAAACATATTTATTATTTGAAAAAATAAGAGTTATTATTTATATAATATTAATAAATAAATAAATTTTGTGAAAAGTTTAATAAAATTTGAAAATTATAAGTGATAATAATTGTATGATTTGTATTTTATATATGTTTTAGAGTCTTGATAATGTTAATTCATTGCAATATTTCTCTTCATATAACCAATTAACGTGTGCCTTTCTCATTTGTTTATACATTGTTCATTAATAATTCAACTTTAGATTTAGTGTTATTTATATATTTATGTGATTTGTATGCATTTCCCTAACATGTGTTTCTAAAGCATATTCATATTTGTATCTGTATCTAACTTATCAGATACAATACCCGWTACTAATACTTTGATCCTTGATTAGAACACTAGTTAGTTGGGAGTCTGGATTCATTCGATGCATGAGTTTTGTTAAGTGAAATTAAAGTCGAAGGAGCCTATGAAATTAAAGTAGAAGTATAAATGAAAATGGGTCAAGCTACCCACATTAATGATTCAAAAAATAAAAGATCTCAGGTTGTATTTTTGTAGTGTATTAATAATTCTTAAAGCTGCCCATACTAGGTCTATTCTAAACCCCAAGCTTGATAATATTTGTTTAGGCTTGGGTTAGGGACAAGTTTGCTTGTGTTAATTATAAAACTATGATTCTTTTATAAATTAATTTTTTTTATTTTAATCAGTTATAAAAAAATACACATTATTTACATACTAATATATTATTCCATATATGAATATTAACTAATGACTATATATATCATTTAAAAATTATAAATAATATTTACCATATATGTAATTAATTTCCAAGTCAAGCTTAGGGTTAGTCTAAGCTTAGATCCCATAATGTGTGGGCTGGGTGTGAATCCAAGTTGGGCCTAGCCTAGAAGAATATAATTGCCTTAAGCTTGAAATTTGTAAGTTTGGTTGAGTTGGTCTAGGTCATAATGAAAGGAGCCGTATAACATTTTCATTTAAGCTATTATTATTTTTTTATATGGAATGAGAATGCTTTTTTTATCTAAATATTATATATTATATATGCCATATATGTATATAACTTTTAGGTCAAATTAGAGGTTGCCTAGTTTGGACATAGACCACATTATGTGTGGGCTTGATGTGGATCCAAGCTGGACCTAGCTTACAAGAAAATAGTTTCTTGAGCATGGAAATTTACAGGTCTGGTCGAACTAGTCTAGGTCATAAATAGTCATCCTTAAGGAGAAGTAGCCTTATGACATTTCCATTTGAGCCATTATTATTTTTATTATTTTATGTAGGATGCAAATTGTTTGTTTTATTACTTTTAATAATGCTTACTTTCTATTATTAATTTTAACTTTTCTGCTAATATTAATTATTTTAAATGGAATTCATATGAATTTTAATTTTTAATTTACGAACTACTAAATTTTATTAATTAATTTCTTAATATTTTAATAATCGTTAGATAAAGGCTCGCTAAATTTTAATACTTTTTCTTAATTTTAATTATTTTTATTAATTTTAGTTATTTAATTTTAAATTAAAATTTTATGACAATTAACCAATTAAATGAAATTTGAATATAAAACAAAAAAAAGGAATTTGGATTAGAAAAAAATTCTCTCTCTCTCTATCTATCTATAGATATAGATATAGATATAGATATAGATATATATCCCCATTCAAACTATTAGAATGCCAACAATTGGTGGACTCGTTCTTGATTGGTTGATTTTGTAATATGACACTAAAATTAAGAATTCATAAAAAGGGAAAAAAAGCATATCCTCTTATGTCCAATCCAAGCATAAACTTTTGTTTATTTGAAGATTGGGTTGGGCGGCCCACACTGGGCTTTAAGTATTAGGCCTAGGCCCAGCCTTGAAATTTGTGTGCCTAATGCAGTTCTGGACCCGGACCGGGATGGAATGATTAGTTCTAAACAAAGTGTGTTTGGTTTATTATCCATTTTCAACAAAAAAGAAAATTTCAAGAAAAAGAAAAACAGTAGTCAATGAATTTTAAGCAATTTACAAAAAAATTGAGAGAGAGAACTAGTAGAATGAATTATTAGAGAAGAGAGAGTTAATGACATTATTAATGAAGAGATAATCTAAAGGACTTATGAGAAAGAGAAGCAGAGTTAGTGGTGACTGGTGAGTTAATGAGGAGGGATGAAAGTCTACTGAAGTTATTATTTAAAAATAAATTAGATAAAAAAACACAAAATAGAGGAAGGGCGAGGCCCGTTGACATGGAAAGACCAATTTTAATATATAGATATATAGACATAGACTACGTATGCACAAATCAAGCTATAAGATAAGTTTGGATCCCATGGTGTTAACTGCTCAATATCGTAAAGGAACCAGAGTGATATAGAGAAAACATACTCTTATATAACTAGAGAGGAATTTGGACAATGGAAAAATAATATAACCAAAATCCATTCTCTGATGAAAGTTTCAGATGACAATTCTCATCCAACTGGATTTTAAGATTCTGCTGAACTGCAATCTTTTGACTATTGTTTTGAAAGTATTGTTTTTAAAATTGACCCGGAGACCGAATCGGTCAGGGGTTCGGTTATTGGGTCGAACAGTCCAATCATTTGAATCAAATGGTCGGCCTGTTCTGACAAAAAAAATAAAAAAAATAAAAAATGGTCAAAACCGTTCGAATGATTCAAACGATTAATCGCCCTAATCAGTGGTTTTCTGACCAAAATCAACGGTTTTTAAAGAAAAATCCAATTTTGAGGTAAAATGAAACCGATCACCTGACCAATTCCCTGTTTTTCCAGTCCGACCGTCCGATCAGGTCCGATTTTGAAAACCATGTTTGAAAGTATGCCGATTCTACACAGCATCATTATTGGAACCAAATGTAGAATGTCATAACCGGAGGAATGAGGACTCCAATACCTTCCTTTCAACTGCTCAACTTTGAAAGGAACCACAAGTGATTTGGAGGTGATTGGCTGTGATATAACTAGTAAAGGAATTTGGGCAGAGTAACAGAACCAGATATCATTCTCTGATGAAACTGCAGAAATTTTGTCTATAGTTCTGCAAGTTTCCAGATTCCATGCAGCACCATTTTTGGAGCCAGATCGTAGAATCTGAAATCCGGAGGATTGGGGTATTAATTGGGGTAAGTGGTAATCAATTTCTTCCTTTCCCTACACCCCACCTAAAAAATATAGAAAAAGAAAAAAAAAAGAGAGAAAGGAGTCCTGCTTTCTACCCTAATCCAGATATAGACCAAATCAATTGTTTGCCATGGTAAAGATATCCATGACAGAGGAATCTAATTTCATCTATTTCACTTTTTCCTTTTGGTTATTTGTTTTGTAGTGGGAAAATCATGAACTGAAATGAACACTATTATGTTCCAAATTCCAACTTTCAAAATCTAATCTTCCCGTCGGATGTTACTTTGGTTACCTGGAGTTATTGATTCTAGGAGATGACCGAGGAGCTGAAGATCGGAACGCCTGACCGCCCACTCTACCACCAGTCTTCGCCGCCGATGCTTCATGAACGGGTCCCAGTGTCAAGACGCCGGCAGCAAACGTCACAATAGCTAGCTTTGCCAACTTCATCTCATTCTTGCTGTAAGAAGTTCACGAAATGAAGCAAATGTTAAACAACCATTGACAGAACACAAGTGAAGTTTTATCAAAAGGAGAGACGACGGGTACTTCACCTTGAGGAGTGACTGTGGTCATCGGTGAACGATCGGCATGATATTAGAGTTATTGAATTGATATTCCTTTTATTTCTGGGTTTCTGGGTTGCAGTCAGGGCGTTAGTGAGGAAGCTCTGTTGAGAAGAAGCAATTGCCATGATTTTTGTGTAGTAAGCCGTCGAGAATGTTCCGAATTCTGGTGTGCTTCAAAATTGTAAGCCATGGATGAGTAGATTTTACATAAAACTGCTACGGAAGCTGCCGCCAAGCTTATCCTTTTATGATTCTGAATTAGCCACGTGTATAAACAGGAATGGAGTAGAGGAATTTTCAAAAACCTACAGATATTGAGATCATTTTACTCTCTCTCTCTCTTTAGATCTCTCTCAAACGGTGGACTGCCGCCCAGTGGCTCGTGGTCGATTGAGATATTCCAAGCAAAACACGGGTTGATTTCGATGCCATTGGCTTGAACCTAGGACAAAATTTCTGAGACCATAAAAAGTACTTATGCATAAATGCTTGGCTGTAGCTTTTTTAGGCGGTGTCTTTTGGAAAAAAATGGCATATTAATTTATTGTATGTGTAAGAACAGGAGTTTGCCGAAGTAATATATTTAGGTTGCGTTTGGTTTGAGGGAAATTTTGGTGGGATGGGATAGGATGAGAGAGGGAAAATTGGTGGAAATTTATTATGTTCAATTGTTTGGTTGTAAAAGGGAAAATAGTGGGAAAATTAACCTTAATAAGAATTATTAATTAATCAATTAAGTAATTAGTAATATTTTTTTATTAATTAATTAATAATTATTAATATTATATTAATTAGATTTATAACTAATTAATATTGAAAATTAGTCATTTAATTATTCATTAATAATTAATATTTCATTTTTTATTTAAAAAAATATTTAATTAATATTTATTATTACTTCATTAATATTTTTATTTGAATTATTAATTTCTTTAGTTATTTAACATTTTTTATTTATCTACTAATTAACTACTAGTTAGATAATTATTAAATTTTTTGTTGTTAATTTTTGATTAATTATTAATTATATAATTAATTAATTAATTAATTAATTTTTCATTAATTAATATTTAAAGCTTTATTAGTTGTTATTTAATTATTAATGTTTTAATACATCTGCCTTAATTAATAATTTAAATATTTGAATATTAATCATTTCATTATTCGTTAATTAGTGAACTAATTAATTATTAATGATTTTGTTGTTCATTAGTAATTAATTCACAATACTTTTATGATTTAGTTTTTTATTATCAACTATTAATTATTAGTTATAATATTTTAATTTTTATTAGTTTGTATTTATTATTAATATCTTGTTTTATTAATAATTATTGCTTATTTAGTAATTTTAATATTGTATTCTGACATATTAGTTAATTATTGGATTATTTCTAATTGATTAATAGTTTTGATGGTGTGCGTTCTGCATGCTCTTAGCTGGAGGGCAACTCGGAAGTTGGTTGCTTAACTAGTCGGTCGAACTGCAAGAAAACAAGGTTTAGAGAGCCCAGGGTGGCTTACCCAGTGTGGCACTCCGATGCTTAGGTTAGTACTATAAGCAGAAAGCTTGTGTGCTAGTAGGCTAGTGAGCAATAAATCGCGCATGCCTTGTGTCGCTAGGGTTGATGCCCTTATATAGGTGAGCTACGATAGGTCTCACGAAACACATTCGAGATCTTCGGCCCATGCTGTCAGGAGTTTGTTCCGCACTAGGAGATGGACTTCGTGCTAGCTGATAAGGCTTATCGAGTCTTTTTGATCTAGGTGAGATAAGGATAAGACCTGCAGACATGCGGCGTGATCTCTAAGAGGTCGGAGACAGCTGGCTTACTTCTAGAACTTGGCTACGTGTCACCTTGATAGGTTAGGTCATCACGAGATACTCAGACCTTGGTCCTGGCTGAGGTGCCTAAGGTACCCAAGGTGACCTAACTCGCTGAGGTGATAGGGAATGCCAAGCCGATGCCCAATCAGTAGGTTGCTTCCACATGTCTATGCATGAATAGGTCGGGCCAAATCACCCCTCATCAATTTTTATTAATTAATTATTTTAATTTACTTATTAACTATTTTAATTTCATTATTTTAATAATAAGTTTTTAAATAATTTATAATTTTTAATGGCTCATGGTTCTAATATTAATTCTTACAGATACTACAAGGTATGTGTTTTTTATTGTTAAACAAGTTTCTCCCTCCATTCCCACTTGTTTTCCATCAAAATGGTGGGTATTGAAATTGGGATGTAGAATCCCACCTTTTTCAATCCCATCTCATGATACCCCACAAAACAACAATGGGAAGGGAAGAACATTTCAGAATATTCCATATTTTTCCTTCCCAATAAACCAAACGGAGCCATATGTATCCCTAGAGAAATTTTGCCAAGTTTGAAAAAAAGCACTTAAAATTGTTGATACATACTAAGCATAAGAATATATAATGTTGGCAACATGTGATCACTTGTGGTCTAAATTGCACTTGTTTATACATACTAAGCATCATAATATTTTCCCTTCCCATCAATTGCAATTGTTGTTTGAAATTTTGTTTTAAAGAATAATTAAGTGATACTGTTACTCATAAGACCTTTTAGCAACATGTGATCACTTGTGGCCTAAAAATATCATACACAACATTCATTTTAGAGTTTCGATCTGCTGATCACAATACATTGCTGGCCATATTCATCCAGCCACATATCGGGAATATCGATTGTACTTTATATCAGCAATATTCCTGATGTATGTTGTGATTAAACATACTCATGGATCAGGTTTGGGTTTGGCTTTTACGAAAGTTTGAATGGGGCCTGACCCAAAACTTGAACCTAACATAGTGTAAGTCAGGCCTAAGCCCGGCCCATGAACAAGTTTAGTTGTGGTCAGCAGGTCCAGACTCGTCATTTTAACTGTTGCTAATTATAAATATATAAAAATTGAATGATAATTACTTTAGGCAGCAACCCCTATAGTTGTTGAATAAGCAACGACCAAGTAATTGTTGCCAAATGTTAACTAAGAAGTAAGAACAATTCATTACGTTTGATGGCATTTATTGACAGTTGTCAATAATCATTTATTTGTTTTATTGATGTATTAAATTGTTACAAATAATATACAACCTACTGTTAAAAGACCATTCAACTATAACTAAAAGAAATTTGATGTTGCCACTTGCGGATGATTTCTTAGTCATAACTAAAAGTAAAATAATTATCGTCAATAAAAATTAAACCTTTATTATGAATATTTATTTAACTGTAGCAAATTCATGTCCAATTATTGTTGATAACCTAATTAACTATAACTATTACCAATAGTCAATTAGTTATTACTAATAGAGGTGTAAATCGGGCCGTGGCACGAATTTGGATCGGCCTGGCATGGCCCGACATGATGGTCTACGGGCCGTGTCAAGTTTGGCACTATCATGCGGGTCGTCTTCGGTTTGGGATTTTAGGTCTATGGGCCAGTACAACACGATACGACCGAGTGGGCCGTGCCGCCCGTAGCCCACGAGACAGCATGGCCCAGCCTGCAGTCTAGTCCACGGCACGGCCCGACATGATCCATATATATATATATATTATATATATTTATACAATATTATATAAATTATAATTATATAATAATATATAGTGATGAAGGGTGATTTGGCCCGACCTAGTAAAAAGGGGACAAGTGGACACGACCTGACCAAGAGATGACAACTTAGCCTGACAAGCTCAGTTTTCAACAATTGAGCTCGCGTATTCAGTCACCTCGGCACAAAGGCCACCTCGGCTCAAGGCTCACCTCAGAGCAGAGCCACCTCGTCGCAAGTCTCACCTCGGTATCCAAGCCAGTTCGGAACTAAAAGACTGAAGTACCAATTCGGAACCAGCAACTTGAAGTGCCATGTAACTGACTCCCGCGCAACTAACTCCAGAGGTCTCTCCAATGAATCTCGAATCCCTCGAGATCATGATGAGTAAACAAACCCCGACTTTTCCGGGATCACGATAAGGACTTATTTTGACCCCGCCGGAATTGGAGGTGAAACAAGATAAGCCTCATCTGTATACTACTCCTTCGGAAGCAAAGCGAGCTCCATCTTCACATCCCGGATATCCTGTAACTCTTTCGTGTGCCCCACGACTAGTCAACTATATAAAGGCTCCAACCCCGTGGTCACAAGGTACGCATGATTTCTCTGCTCTCTAGCTCTCTAGCTCTCTACATTCTCAAAGTTATTCAGCTCGCATCAGAGTACTAACTTAAGCATTGGAGCGACCTCGCCGGGCTAGCCACCCTGGGTTCTCTGATCTTGTTTTGCAGATTTACTTAGCTCGCCATCCAACTAGAAGCCAAATCATCCTCCAGCAGGGAGCAGTCAGATTGTGCAACATCAATTGGCATCGTCTGTGGGAAGATGATCAAAAAACCTTCTTCACAATTAACAACTTTCCTCTGAAATCAATGGCCTCTTCTAGTCACGCCGGACAGAGCAGTGAAATGAACATCTCTGGGGGGCAACCTTAGTTTCCATCAGTGTGCATTGGTCAGTTCACCATACCGCTCACTGCGATTGGGGTCCCAACACTAACTGTGCCACAAAACGCTCCATAGGTGAATGCCCCGCTCCCTCCAGTGGTGGGTGCAATCTTCGCTGAACCATCTGTGGTTCCCCCCGGAGTCAGGCAATCCCAGTTCAGCGATCTGGTACACTGCGTGCGGGGCCATTCAGGTCCAAATGCAGCAGGTCCAGCAGTTCCAGCAATACCAGCAGCATGTGTTCTACCAATACTACCAGCAGCAATTCCCTCCACTGCTGCAAAGCCAGCAGTCGATTCCACCTTGGCACCCAGCAACTCAGTAGAACCAACCTCGTGTGCAGAACATCACTCGATCTCCCCACCGAGGCGAGGAGATTTCCCAGGTCTCACTTCCTCTCGAGAGCCAAGTCTCACCTCGTGGCAGGAGAGACGGATAGATCACTCCGCCTGCTTCACAAGGCAACATTGGAAATAGGTCCGAGGAATATGAAACCCATGATCCCACCATGGCAGCTTATTTGGCCAAAGTCAAGGAGATACTACGCGGCTTCATCTCCTACTTCATCAGGCAGATCCTGAGATCTGAGAATGCTAAGGCTGACGCCTTGTCCTGGTTAACTAGAACGAGCAGCAACACCATACGGGCCGTGTACATAGAGGACTTAC